ATTCAGAGCAGAGGCTCTAAGTGAGGTAAAGGTAAACTTTATTTAGCCAGGGTGGCCCATTCAGCGACGAGGCTGATATCCAGAGGGGCACTGGACTAAAAATATAATAATTAAAAATACAAGTGCATTGCCTAAACGACATACCGTGTTTCGTCATTGGATCTTGCACAATATCTACCTGCTGTAAACAGTTGCCAATTAATAATGCTAGTTCATAATTTGTAGACCTTAGCAAGAAAAATATTTAATGTTTTGAAAAGACTGGCTGGAAGCAATCAGCTCAGTTAATGTTAACATGCATTTTCGTTATGTTAACGCAAACGAACACAAAGGATCCGAATTAAGATTCCCCGATCAGTTTACAAAGCAATTTTATTTCAGTTGCACCTGTCCCAGCTAGCAATGTGCTCATGTTTAATTTTCCATAAGTGGGCTTGTCCGTCAAAATTAATCATTTTAATATCAACACTTTCGAGGTTTTCAAACACGATTTGAACTGATCCGATATAAACAATGACTTCTGCGGTGACTTACTGGAGAGAAGTCACACATACACTCAAGGTTTTACTTTTTTTTTCCTTTGGAATCACGTTACCATTATGCCTTGGATGTTCCAGATCTGGTAAGCATGTATAATTCCTTTTATTCTGTTACTCGTTATTTATTCCCTCGCGGCTTAGGAAGCCACTTAACTTGTAATTAAATTGTCTCCTTCTCTCTCGTCCGCCTGTGAATCGTCGTTCCTGTCGATCCANCATAAGTGGGCTTGTCCGTCAAAATTAATCATTTTAATATCAACACTTTCGAGGTTTTCAAACACGATTTGAACTGATCCGATATAAACAATGACTTCTGCGGTGACTTACTGGAGAGAAATCACACATACACTCAAGGTTTTACTTTTTTTTCCTTTGGAATCACGTTACCATTATGCCTTGGATGTTCCAGATCTGGTAAGTATGTATAATTCCTTTTTTCTGTTACTCGTTATTTATTCCCTCGCGGCTTAGGAAGCCTCCTTGAGAACTCTATCCAATTATCCTTTCCTCGAAGCCGATTTAAACTTAAGCCACTCTTTCTAAAACAAATTCTACTTTGACTATTCCTGGCTATTGTTTAGATTCTGGGATTTTCTGGATTTTATTGATTATTTTCACGTTTGAACACCCAGGAATACCTGTTTATTCGATTGCGAACATACATTCCATGTAATTTTGGCAAGAGACACATTCATACAAAGTTTAGTTTTAAGTAAAACTAAACGATATGCACACTCACCTAGCACACCGAGTTTTCAACAAGTTTTTGGAAATTAAAGGGTGTATTCATTCGGTCAACTTTAGGGATTTTAGCATATGTTTTGCCTTTCCTTCGGCAGCAAAAACGACTGAGTGTGATTTCACTTTTCATTTACGATTTAAAACAAGAACAAGCCTGGTTAAGAATTGTTTTCTTGTACTTTTATATATATGTTTATTTTTTTATGCGATGCTTATGACAGAAAGAAAGTAAGCCTCGTTGCCATGGAGGCATTCGATCGATCAAATTTAGAGTTCTCGAATTTCAATGGTAAACAGTTTGGACATTTTTGCTTCATCAAAAGCTACGTTGGAGCCTCGATATATATAACGAAGGGCCAAGGGACTGGCAAAATATGTTCGCTATAACGAGGTTTCGTTGTATCGAGGTTCTTTCCCACATATTTTACTATTGCTGGCGCAAGGTATATCGTTGGTTATACCGAGGACTTCGTTAAATAGAAGTTCATTAAATCGAGGTTCCACTGTATTTTCACAACGTGATTTTCGTCAACGGGAAGACCCCGAAACTCAAACCAGCTAAATTCTACTGCAATAAAATCAGCAACGTCCAAACGAGTGCGACAAGTAAAACTTAAGTCTAAAAGCGAGCTTTTTGACGCGTTTTCTTCAATTCTTGATCATTTAGGAATGGAAATATACGAGACTAACGTGCTTTCTGGAATCACCTTGAAAGTCATCTTTTTCTCGAGTTTTCAGTAGAAATATTTTATTCAAACTTGTTACGTTGTTCTGCGTGGTTTGGGACTGGCACTAGAGACACAGGTACGATAACTAATCGCAAATTTCATATTTCCCACCTCGCAAACTG